TGCTGGCGCAAAGCCTATTTTGTTATCTTCCCTGAAACTGTCGTTTACCTGATGGAAATGGAACCAGGAGAAGTTTGCATCTAAGGATTTCAACTCATCCATTGATTTCATGCTGTATTGATTTTCTTTCTTATCAAGTAAGTCCTTGTATATATGCCAACTAGAGCTGGGAAACTCTCTTTTATGAAAAGCCTCTGTGGGCGATACCCAGAGAGGTGTTTTGCTATAAAATCTCGTTTTATACTTCTCCCAGACCTTCAATAGGGGCGCTCTGATGATGTGACTGGTGAAATTCTTCTCTATTTTAGCTTTCCCGTGCCATAAATAGGCATGCCACCCTCTCCTTAGCTCCGCGCCCTCCAAGTTCAGCAGCTTTCTCTTTTTTAGGGTGGCCCACTCCCTTAACCACACCAGTGCAGCAGCATCAAAATATAACTGAAAATCCGGTAAAGTCAGACCGCCCCTCTCTTTTGCGTCTATCATGGTTGTATATTTGATCCTTTCTTTTTTGCCTTGCCATATGAATTTCTGCATGTCCCTTTTCCAGCTTTGAAAATAATGTTTGGATCTCAGAATGGGAAGCATTTGAAACAAAAAATTCATTTTTGGAAGCACTTTCATTTTTATCAGGGCCACTCTCCCCATTAAGCTTAGCTTAAGGGATTTCCAGTCTTCTATTTTTTTGGAGATTTCCTTCCACGTCTGTTGGTAATTATTCTTTATCAGTTGTATATTGCTTGCCGTCAGCGTTATCCCTAAGTATTTCACTTTATTTGCTATAGTAAAATTGGAGGTCCTCTCTAATTCTCGCTTCTTATTTCTGCTGATATTCTTTGTTAAAAGCTTGGTCTTTTGTCTATTAATTCTTAACCCAGCCACCTTTCCGTAGTCCTGAATCTTTTCTATCCAGTTTGTTATGTTCTCTATTGGGTTCGATATTATACAGACAATATCGTCCGCATACGCTTTTAGTTTAAACTCATCATTTCTTATTTTTACCCCCTTCAGGTTTACGTCTCTCCTAATATTTTCTAATAGGATTTCCAAGGACAGAATAAATAGGAGAGGTGAAAGGGGGCAACCCTGTCTAGTGCCTCTTTCGATTTTAATGCTTTCCGTAAGGTGCCCATTTACTTTTATCCTGGCACTTTGGGAAGTATAAATGGCCTTTAACATATTAATTACTTGGAGGCCCATATCTTTTTCCCTTGCTACATGGAGCATAAAGTTCCAATTTATCTGATCGAAGGCCTTTTCAGCGTCCAAAAATAAAAGGCCCAATTCTCTCTGATGGTTAGACTCGTGGAATTCAATAATATCTATTATTGTTCTTATATTGTCATGCATTTGTCTTCTTGGAAGAAAACCATTTTGATCCTCCTTAATTACCTCATTGAGGTAAATTTTCATTCTACTAGCCATTATATGTGCAAAAATCTTGTAGTCGGTGTTCAACAAGGCAATCGGCCTATAGTTCTTAACATTTTCTTCCTCCGATCCTGTTTTATGTATTAAAGTAATGAACGCATCATTCCAGGAATCCGGTATAATGGCCTCATTCAGAATGTTATTGCCTATTATCTTCAAATGTGGTGATAATTCTTCTTGAAATAACTTATAATTATTGGGATTTTTCCTCGTTCAACTGGAGGCCCAGGTCTTCGAGGAGGGAAAGTGTCCTTGCCAGCTGCGCCCGCAGAAGGTCCGGTGAACGTGCCGCCAACAACCAGTCGTCTAAATAAGGGAAAATCTGGATCTTTTCCCTTCTGAGGGCTGCTGCGACCACCGACATGCATTTGGTGAAGGTCCTCGGTGCCGTCACGAGACCGAAGGGGAGGACATTGAAATTGTAGGACTGTCCCGCTACCCTGAAGGCCAGGAAGCGTCTGTGATGTTTCCTGATTGCGAGGTGGAAATAAGCGTCCTGGAGATCGACAGACGCGAAGAAGTCCCCGTACCGGAGGAAGGGGAGGATGGACGATACCGTCACCATCCGAAACCTTCGATGCTCGATGAAGGAGTTTAAGTCTCTGAGATCGAGGATGGGGCGAAGGGAGCCGTCCGGCTTCGGGACAGTAAAGTACCTGGAGAAGAAGGCTTGATGATTTTGGGAGTCCGGGAAAGGGGAAATCGCCCCCTTCAGTAGCAAAGTATTGACTTCTGTCAGGATTGCCGAGGATGGCTCGGTTTCGACAATTTGCCCCGTTGGTGGGAGCTCTTCGAACTCCAATGCATAGCCTTCGTCGACAATCTTCAAAACCCATGCATCTGAGGTGATATTTTCCCATGCAGGGAGAAAGTTTGTCAGACGGTCTCCGAAGAGTGTCAAGCCGGATGGAAGGATGAGGGCGGGTACCATTGGGAGGGACATGGGAGCAACAACGGTAACGGAACTGCAAACGGTATCGTCCACCAGCGCGTCAAACGCGACGCCTGGCCTGGTTACCTCCTGAAGCCTGCCGGGAGCGCGAGCGCTGCTGCTGGTGCTGCCGCCATTGTTGTTGGGGCTGTTGAGGCTGGGACTGCAAGGGGGACTGCGAGGGACGGGTTGGATGCCGGTACTGAATGGTACGGTACGGGACCGTGTGTCTGCGTTTGAACTGGAACCATCTGGTACACTGCGCTTGACCCTGGTTCTCGATCCCGCACTTCGAGGCTAAAGTCTTGAACTCGTGGTTAGACTTTAGCTTGTCGTCCGTCCCAGCGTTAAAGAGTCCCAAGGCATCAAACAGGAGGTCTTCGATCACCTGCCTCGATGAAGTAGAGAGGCCAGATTATCTCAGCCAGGCATGTCTCCTGATTGCCACCGCGTGAGCAATCATCTTGCCCGCTGTGTCTCCCGTGTGCTTGGCCATCTGCATCTGATGATGCGCCAGAGAGTGTGCCTCTTGAGCCAGGGTGGTCATGGCAGCCCGATCCTCAGCCGACATCCTTTGGAAGAAGGGCTCCGCTTTCTCCCACAGAATCTGTTGGTACGCCCCCATGCAAGCTCCATAGTTCGCCATGCGGGCCAGCAGGAGGGCACCGGAGTAGAGCTTCCTGCCCACCGCGTCGAACCTCTTCCCCTCGCGGTCGGATGGCGTGGAGGATTGCCTTCCGAACCCCTGAGCCGCCTTCACGACCACCGAGTTAGGGTCGGGATGGTGTTTCAGCCACTCCAAGCCCTCGTCATCAGTCCTGTACCAGGACTCGATCTTCTTAGACGTCGGCGGGATGGAGGAGGGGGTCTTCCAGGAGCCCTGGATCACCTCGAGGAGATAGGGAAGGAAGGGTAGGAGAGGAGCGGGAGGGGACTCCCTCTGTACCCTTTTGAATACTGGGTCAGTCACTGCCTTGGAAGTCTGTTTGACCTCCAGGCCCAGAGTCTCAGCCATGCGAGCCATTTGATCCGCAAAGGCTCGGACATTGTCTGTTGGAGATGGGGGATCCACCTCATAGGCATCGTGGGTAGGTGATTTCTCGATACCGAGAGACAACACCGATCCCGAGTGCACCGATCCCGGCAACTCGCCATCTTCCTCTTCCTCATCAGGAGGCAGGGAATGGGGTGGTGGGGATGAGGAGGCATCCCGGCTCTGAAGCTGCAGCGGAGGTACCGGAGGAGCCTTTGAGGCCGAGGCCCGAATGGCACTGGCCAACCTCATGGTCTGTCTGCCCCTTTCAGGGGTCTGAAGTACCGACTGGGTCTCCTGTCTGGCTGTCACAGTGGCCAACGCCGTGACCGGCGGGAAAAGCTCCTGCCTGGCTGTCAAGTGTCGAGCAGGTGCCTCGATCACCGTGTCCACCGAAATCACCGGGGACTCGGGCTGTTCCGGAGGCGGCATCGGTACAGGCTGTGGCTCTTGAGCAGGCTGCGGGGCCGGCTGAGATACGGTAGGCCGTACCGGCGACGATCTCGCCGACGAGGTGGCCGAGGAGGCAGTGGTTTGCCTTCGGGAAGAGGAAGAAGACGAGGGTGGAGGCGGCATCGTCTTCTTCTTCTTTGCTGGGGGCTGCGCAGTCTTCGACAGTGATTTGCCCGGGGTGGGCGGAACAGAAGATGAGGTAGAGGCACGTCGGGACTCTTCCTGAGACCGGCGGAAAGCAATGCGAACCGCCGTGGAAGATGGCGGGGTCGCCGACGTCGACCTCGTTGATCTAACCAATCTCACCGACGCCACCGAGCTGGTCGACGAATGCCGAACGCGTACGGTCTCAGTAGTGACCGAGCGTGGAGGCGGTTGCTTCGCAGGCCTTGGAGCCTTGGAAGCCGTCGACACTGAGGCCTTCGACGTTGTCGACATCGCTGCCCTTGGTCTCTTCTGCGCAGCCCTCCTCGACTGTCGAGGTTCAGTCTCTACTGGAGGGTCGACAGGCGTTGCTGTCGAAGGTCCAGACACCGTGGCCGACGTCGACGCCGATGTCGAAGTCGAAGGTACCGGGGCCAACGCCTGTTGGTACAGCAGGTACCGAAGTCGATGAGCCCGGTTCTTCCGGGACTGTGCCGTCAAGGCCTGGTAATGACGACACGACGATGTGATATGAGCCTCGCCGAGGCACAAAAGGCAAAGCGAGTGCCTGTCCGAGTCAGGGATCTTCTTCGGACATCTTGCGCACTTTTTGAAGCGAGTTGTTGACATACTATGGTCAACAACTCGAGGAAAATCTCTAAGAAGAATCACTATCCAACAACTAACTATCCTACACACACAAGAAGCAGCGAAGTGAGCCGTGCGGCGGAAAGAAAGGAATTGGAGTGGCGCGCGCAGGGCGCCCTTTTATCCCCTGCCGGGGCTGGGCGGGGTTACCGCCAAAACTTCAAAAGTTTTAAAAAGTAGAAGTTTCCGTTGGAGCCCGCGCAGGCGCAGTCTCTCCACAAGTGTGCATTCGCAGAGACCACGAAGAAAAAATTATATTATTACCATAGCACAACATTAATATTATATATTACATTGTACTATACCATTATACTGTAATATTATTAGTAATATTATATTATATTATATATTTCGTGGACCTACCTGTTGAGGGCCAGGTGGAGCTGGCTGCTCTGGGCGTGGAAGCGCTCCCCGGTGCTGTCGTAGAACTGCACCCGGAGCGTCAGGGACATGCCCGGAGGGAAGGCGCGGAGGGGGCCCGGGCCGGTCGAGAAGAGCCGCGGGGAGCTGCTCACACGCAGGTAGGAGACCGGAGCCACCTGCAAGCAAGGAAAGATCTCCAAGTCTTCATGGACAAGTTGAACATGAGCCAAGAGTGTGATGCTGCAGCTTGGAAAGCCAATGGGATTTTGGGCTGCATCCCAAGGAGCCCAGTGTTTGGACTAGAGAGGGGAGTCACGGTGCCTCTCCATTTTGCGTTCTCACCCGCACTCCGGTGATGATGGTCTGGTTGACGCCGATGGGCTCCAGCGCGGTCACCTCCAGCACCGCCGTCCCGGTGACGGATCCGGCCCGGAGGAGGCCCTGCCGGCTCTCCTCGATGACGGAGGAGTTGGGGAAGCACTGCAGGAGCTGCGTGGACACCACCGCCGCCCCCTCCCTGGGACCCAAAGGAAGCACGGCAGTGAGTGCGGGCGGCCTCCGTCCATCAGCGCAGGGAACGGAACATGGACGGCTGCTCAGGATCACAACCACAATTGGGTTCTTCACCTCAACAACACCAAGGAGCTTAGAGTCAACTAGCTGGACCCACTAGGCATTGCTGTGGCCACCTTCCCTCCCTCTTTCTCTCCTTCTTTTCCTCCTTCCTTCACTCCCTCTTTCCTTCCTTTCCTTATTTCTTTCCTTCTCCCCTTCCTTCCTTCCCTCTATTTTATGCTTTCCCTCCTTCCTTCATTCCCTCTTTCCTTCCTTGCCTTTTTTTTCTTTCCTTCCTTCCTTCCCTCCCTCTCTCCTTCTTTCCCTCCTTCCTTCATTCCCTCTTTCCTTCCTTGCCTTTTCTTTCCTTCCTTCCCTCCCTCCTTCCTTCCCTCCTTCCTTCACTCCCTCTTTCTTGCCTTTCCTTATTTCTTTCCTTCTCTCCTTCCTTCCCTCCCTCCCTCCCTCTTTCCCTCCCCTTTTTATTTTCCTTCCTCTTTCTCTCCTTTCTTCCTTCTCCACCTTTTCTTCCTTCCTTAACTCTTTGCTTCCATCCTTCCTTCTCTCTTACCTTCTTTCCTTCCCTCCCTCTTTTTTATGCTTCTTTCCCTCCTTCCTTCGCTCCCTCTTTCCTTTCTTCCCTTTTTCTTTTCCTTCCTTTTTTCTCTCCTTTCTTCCTTCTCTGCCTCTTTATTCCTTCCTTCGCTTTTTGCTTCCAGCCTTCCTTCTCTCTTTCCTTCTTTCCTTCCCTCCCTCTTTTTCTGCTTTTTTCCTTCCTTCCTTCACTCCCTCTTTCCTTCCTTTTTTTCTTCCTTCTCTCTTCCTTCCTCTCCTCTTTTTCTTCCTCCTTTTCTTTTCCTTCCTCTTTCTCTCCTTTCTTCCTTCTCTTCCTCTTTCCTTCCTTCTCTCTTTCTGCTTCCTTCCTTCTTCTCTTTCCTTCTTTCTTTTCCTCCCTCCCTCTGCTTTTTTCCTTCTTTCCTTTCTTCACTCCCTCTTTCCTTCCTTTCCTTATTTCTCTCCTTCTCTTTTTCCTTCCTTCCTTCCCTCCCTCTTTTTTCTGCTTCTTTCCCTCCTTCCTTCACTCCCTCTTTCCTTCCTTTCCTTTTTGTCCTTCTCTATTAGTTTCTTCTCTTCCTCTTTCTTTCCTTCCCTTTTCATTTCCTTTCTCTTTCTCTCCTTCCTTCCTTCTCTACTTCTTTCTTTCCTTCCTTCACTCTTTGCTTCCGTGCTTCCTTCTCTTTCCTTCTTTCTTTCCCTCCCTCTTTCTCTCCTTCCTTTCTCTCCCTTCCTTCCTTCCTTTCTCCCCTTCATTCCCTCTTTTTCCTATCTTCCTTTTTCTGTATCGTCATTTATCTTTTTGGGGTTTTTAAGTCCTTTATGTTGTTTTTTTTTTGGGGGGGGGGTGTTATGAGTGATGGTCACTCGTTAGTCTGTTAGGGGTGTAGTGTCCAAATTTTGTGCCAATTCCCCCAATGGTTTTTGAGTTATTTTAACCCCACAAACAAACATGACCTTTTTATTGATACAGATTACAAGGGCAAAGGGGGGAAATGACCGCAAGAGATGTTCCCAATGGCCCTCCAACATGGAGTCTGCTGGAGTCTTCCTCTTTAGAGGTTTTTAACCAGAGGCTGGATGGTCATCTGTTGGGGGGTGCTTTGATAGTGCCCTCCTGCCTGGCAGAGGGAGGCTGGAATGGATGGGACTCTATGACTGGATGTCCCCTTCCCTCCTGGAGGTACCTGTTGGTAAGCAGCTTGAGCTGGGAGTTCATGGACATGAGGATCTGGCCCGCGGGACACTCCGGGCAGAAGAGCTGCAGCTTCTCAAACACCTCCAAGGAGACAGAAAGGAAGGAGAGATAGATAGACTTCCTGGGCGGCCATGTTGGGAGGAGGCCAAGGGCTCAGGAGATGGTTGCTTTGGTCAAGAAGCCCATCCCGACAACGTTAGAGAGAAGAACAGCCCATGTGAAAAAGATTTAGGAGTCTGAACATGAGCCAAGAGTGTGAGGCCACATCAGGGGAAGCCTGCCTAGGAGTCTGTGGAGTCGCCTCCCTCTCCTGGGGCTGAAGCGCCATCTGTCGAGAGGGCTTGGATGGTGTCTTCCTGCCTGGCAGAAGGGGCTTGGACTGAGTGGTCTTCTGTGGGGTCTCTGCCAACTGCAACAATCTAGGACTGTAGCTATCCATGGGCATCTCTCTCTCTCTCCTGAGGTTTTCCAACAGTGTCTGGAAGGCCATCTGTTAGGAGAGCTCAGATGGTATCTTCCTTTATGGTGGGAGGAGGCTGGACTAAATGGCTCTCTTTGGGGTCTCTTCCAACTGAAGGAATCTATGACACACTCACTCTATCATTCTGTCTGTCCATCTATCCATCTATCTATCCATTCACCCATCTATCTATGCATCTATCTATGAATCTATCTATCTATGCACCCATCCATCCATCTATCTATGCATCCATCCATCCATCCATCTATGCACCTATCCATCCATCTATCTATGCATCTATCCATCCATCCAGCCAACCAACCATCTATCCATCCATCCATCCATCCATCCATCCATCTATGCATCCATCCATCCATCTATGCATCTATCCATCCAACCAACCAACCAACCAACCATCTATCCATCTATCCATTCATCCATCCATCTATGCATCTATCCATCCATCCATCCACCCATCCATCCATGCATCTATCTATGTATCTATCCATCCTTCCATCTATGCATCTATCTATCTATCTATCTATCTATCTATCTATCTATCCTTCTCTGGAGATCTTTCTGCTGGATAGCCACCTGTCAAGAGGAGGCCGATTGTGTCCTCCTTCCAGGCAGAATGGGGTTGGACTGGATGTCCCTTTGGGGTCCCAATTCCACTTTCCTTCCATCTAAGAGAACTCTTGGTGGCTCTCCTCGAAGGCCTGCCTTGCCTGGCTGTTCCTTCCCTAAAGGGCGTAACCCTTCTGAGCAATTTGGGGTCCCAACCCCAGGTCCGTTACAAAGGCCGTTGTGTCCTTCCTCAGGGGTGGAGCCAATGGGGACGCAAGCAGTGCTCCTTGGAGGAGAAGGCCAAGAGGCAGGGAGAGGCGCAGAAGGGAGAGCGAGGAGCCAGAGGCCGGCCAGACGGAGCTGACTTACCAGGACCTGCACTTCGTCAGAGAGCTCCACCTGGCCGCCCTCCAGCTGCCTGGCCGAGGGGTCCAAGGCCCGCACCGTCACTCGGATGCTGGTCCTCCCAGTGGCCTTGGTGTGCAGGACCATGGCAAAGTTACTCTCCGGAGGGAGCTGCAGGGACACCTGGGACGAGAGGGGGAAGGACCGCATACTTCAAGCACAAAGTGTTTGAGAACTCACAACCTTGTTTTTATGACCCCCGACTCTGTGCCACGAGGGACTAAAGGCCACGCTCCACCTCTTTTTGAAGTTGGAGGGCTAAAAGTTGCTGTTTCTTTTGCTCTCGGTCAATGTGGGTTATGTGAGGTAGACAGGAATGCATCGACCGTAATCCTATTGTGCAAAACAGATTGGAAAATACAGTTCTAATGGACATGTGGTCACACGCCTGCTGAAGGGTGAAGTGGGTGGTGATGTGGAACTGGAGGGACATGCAAGGAAGATGGGTCATGACCATGTGCCATTTGTGCGTATTCACAGTTGACCACGCAGGGAAACACTTGTTACACAACCAATGGCCCGTACCTCCGAATGCCGGGGGAGGAGGTCCAGGACATCCCGTTTGCTCACGGTCCAGTGGAAGACCAGGCCCGGGTTGGCGCTCCCAAAAGAAAAGGGGGTCAGTGTCGTGGTCAGCCCCATCACGTACACCGGCATCTGCAAAGAGAGGGCTCAGCCATTTTTGTATTGTCTTCCCCCACCTGTTTTTCATTTCTTTCCTTCAGTTTCACGTGAGATCAGAACAGCTTTTCTCTAAGCTTCTCCCACTCCAAGATTTGCAAATCTGTGGACATCAGGCATTTGATTTTTTTACTTTCCCATTCAAACCCTCCGATACTCCAAAGCAATTATGTTTTCTGCTTTGACTCCATTCTAACTAAAAAGCCTTTCCAATCTTATTTATTTTGCTCACACCAGTTTGGAGAAGAGTAAATGTGCTATGCTAATAAAATGGTATAATATAATATAATATAATATAATATAATATATATTATATGTATATACAATATATTATATAATATAATGTAATATAATATAATATATTGTACATACATATAATATTTATAATATTATAATGTAAAGCAATATTATACTAATAATAATATAATTATATATTTATATGTTACTAATAATATTACAATATACTGCATAGTGCAGTATAGTAATAAAGAATACTGATATTGTTCTATGCTAATAATATAATATAATATTTTAATATTATAGTGTAATACAATATAATACTAACAATAATAATATGATATTATAATTATATATTTATATTACATGTAATAATACTAATAATATTACAATATAATGGTACAGTACAATATAGTAACATATAATACTGATATTGTGCTATGCTAATAATATAATATAATATTATAGTGTAATACAATATAATACTAACAATAATAATATGATATTGCAATTATATATTTTATATTACATGTAATATTACTAATAATATTACAATATAATGGTATAGTACAATATAGTAATATATAATATAATATATTGTATGTATATATATATATATCTTGTAAGCCGCTCTGAGTCCCCTTTGGGGTGAGAAGGGCGGCATAGAAATGTTGTAAACAAATAAATAAATGTATTTTCTCCATAAGTGTATCTTCTCTATTGCAATTAGGGAGCTATAGTGTCTCAGCAAGTGATAAACCTCAGTTGAAAGCCTCCCAGGTGATCATGTCCTGGACTTGAGTCCTCTCTGCTTCATGCTATTGCCGCAGAAAGATGGAGTTGGGCCCCGAACGGAGCTTGCTCCAGGGGAGTAGCGTCAGTCCCACCCAAACCCATTTGGTCTCTGCACCGCAGGCCGGAAGGTTTCCCAAGATCTCCATCCCAGGCCAAAGGACTCACCTCGGTGCCCGTGACGAGCCTCGTGGCCGCAGCGTGGATCCGCACCCCTTTGAGCTGGACCACCTCCAGGTCCACCTGGTCCTGAGGAATCAAAGCAACACGTTCAGGTCGGTCATGCCTTTGAAAGCACTCCGAAAACTTCTTTGTTTTTGTGTCTGGACGAGACCCGATGAGGTAGTCCTTGAAAAACTATCGCAAAATGTGCCACAGCAGGATGCCCACGGTGGCACAGCGAGTTAAACCATATTATTATTATTATTATTATTATTATTATTATTATTATTATTATTATTATTTTACTGACACAAAAGCACAATATGCCATTATTATTATTATTATTATTATTTTGAATCACAACAAGATGAGTCCACAGCAGACACTCTGCTCACACATTGGACACTTCCCATATTATTATTACCATTACCATTACCATTATTATTATTATTATTATTTTACTGACACAAAACCACAGTATGTCACAGCAAACGAGAGATATATGCTAGATTTCATATGATATTATTATTATTATTATTATTATTATTATTATTATTTGAAACACAACAAGGGGAGTCCACAGCAGACACTCTGCTGGCTGTTGTATTGGATCACACGTCGGGCACTTCCCATATTATTATTATTATTATTATTATTATTATTATTATTATTATTATTATTATTTTACTGGCACAAAAGCACAGTATGTCATTATTATTATTATTATTATTATTATTATTATTATTTGAAACACAACAATATGAGTCCACAGCAGACACTCTGCTCACACATTGGACACTTCCCATATTATTATTATTATTATTAACTATTATTATTATTATTATTATTATTATTATTATTATTTTACTGACACAAAACCACAGTATGTCACAGCAAACGAGAGATATATGCTAGCTTTTGTATGAAATTATTATTATTATTATTATTATTATTATTATTATTATTTGAAACACAACAGGATGAGTCCACAGTAGACCCTCTGCTGGCTGTTGTATTGGATCACACGTCGGACACTTCCCATATTATTATTATTATTATTATTATTATTATTATTATTATTATTATTATTATTTTACTGACACAAAAACAGTATGTCACAGCAAATGAGAGATATATGGTAGACTCAACGAAGGTCAGAACGACGTACCTGCGAGAAGACGATGACCTTCCCGGTGTCTTCGCTGACGGCCTGGATGGTGCCGAGGATGACGGCGGAGCCCACGGCCTTGGCGGTGACCTGGCCCCGCCCGTCCACGACGCCCACGGTCCGGTTGCTGATGGAGAAGTGGATGAGGGACTGCGGCTGCGGCCCGCCTTCCGACATCACCTGCCGTTGGGTGGGGGGGAAACAGGAGCAGGAGCACAGCCATGGAAGCGACCCTGGGGCAAGCCATCACCCAGGATCAACAACACCATTGGACATGTGCTTTGGATGGCGTGGCGCTTGTCCATTGTGAGACTCACTTGCATCATGTTGTGCGGAATGAGGACCATCTTCTCGGGAATGAGCCTGAACGGCGGGAAGATCTAGACAACACAAACAAAGACAACAGTAGTCGCCGCCAGGAGCACACAAGGAGTGAAATGGCCCTAAAGTTTTTGCCCCAAATGGAAGAACCCGGCACTCTCTGCTCTTTGGAGTCTTTTAAGCAGAGGATGGATGGACACCTGTTGGGAGGGATTTGATTGTGCTTTCCCTGCATGGCAGAAGGGTTCGACTTGTGTTGGACTGGTTGGCCTTTGGGAGTCCCTTCCAGCTCTGTTGCTGTGAGTTTTCTGGGCTGTCTGGCCATGCTCCAGCAGCATTCTCTCCTGACGTGTCACCCACAACTAAGGCAGGCATCCTCGGAGTTTGTGAGGTCTGTTGCAAGTGAAGTTTATATATCTTTGGAAGGTCCAGGGTGGGAGAAAGGACTATTGTGTGTTGGAGGCAAGTGTGCATGTTGCTATTGGCCACCTTGAATGGCCTTGCAGTTTCAAAGCCTGGCTGCTTCCTGCCTGGGGGAAAACCAGGCATGTGAGGCTTTGATCTATGTGGAATGATGCCCAGGGTGGGAGAAAGAACTCTTGTCTGTTGGAGGCAAGTATGGATGTTGGTACTGGCCATCTTGATTAGCACTGAATGGCCTTGCAGGTTTCAAAGCCTGGCTGCTTCCTGCCTGAGGGAAAAACCAGGCATGTGAGGCTTTGATCTATGTGGAATGATGCCCAGGGTGGGAGAAAGAACTCTTGTGTGTTGGAAGCAAGTGTGAATATTGCAATTGGCCATCTTCATTAGCAATTAATGGCCTTGCAGTTTCACAGCTTGACTGCTTCCTGCCTGGGTGTAAAGACTGTAGGATCTATATAGCAATATTAAATAACCACTCACAAGCCGGTTCTGCTTTGAAATGGATATATTGCTTGTATCTCTGCAGCAAAGAAAGACACTACGGACTTCTTCCCACCACCACGTCCTTTTAGACACCTTTCCTGCCCATCTCCCCCCCCCCCCCCCCCCCCCCCCCCCCCCCGCTTCTCAGTTTCTTTATTAGGACTTGTTGCTTCACAAGTTCACAAGTTCCAATACAAGGTTTCCCGCACCCTCGGCTGGCTTCAGAAAGTCACACAGAGAGAATTGAGTCAGCCAGGAGGTCACGGAGGGAATTTGTGATGTCTTCAGAAATTGATTCCTGACACTGGGGGAAAAACTAGGCAAGTGAGACTTAGATCTATGCGGAATATTGTCCAGGGTGGGAGAAAGAACTCTTGTCTGTTGGAGACAAGTGTGCATGTTGCTATTGGCCACCTTGAGTAGCACTGAATGGCCTTGTAGCTTCAAAGCCTGCCTGGGGGAATCCTTAGTTGGGAGGTGTTGGCTGGCCCTGATGCTTTGGTGGTGGCCCCTTCTCTCAGCCTCCTCCCCTGCCCCAGGCTGGGTGATCATTCCCTAATGAGCCCAATGGCGAGGGGCCCGCGTACCTCCACTTTGCACGGGGCGGAGGTGAACTTGGCCCCGGTCTTGTCCCAGGCGCTGGCCACGAGCGTGGTCTGCCCCACCACAAGGGCGCGCAGCACATAGACCTCGGCGGAGTCGCCCGCTTCCTCCATCAGGCTGCAAAGAGACGCCGGCCGTGAGCCCAGGGTCCAACAGAATCATGTGCCCGAGGCAGGAAGGGCAGGACTCACACAAACAGAGAGGGATCCCTTGTCCGGCCCCGATTTGGGGATATGGAGGCAGTCTCCAAGGGAAATATAAACTACGTATAGTTGGGCTATTGCGCCTTTCGTAGATATTGAGGCAGCTTGGAGTTTTGCCCACTGTGATCAACTTTCTGTGTTCAAATATTGTGAATTTATATTCTTCTGATGTGTTTATTTATTTATTTGCACCAGGACCGTGGCGCAGCTGGCTGGGAGTCAGCTACATTAAGATCACTACTGACCGAAAGGTCATGAGTTCGAAGCCAGTCTGGGTTGGAGTGAACTTCCGATCAATTTGTTTAGCTTGCTGTTGACCTTTGCAGCCCGAAAGGTAATTGCATATGTCAAGTAGGAAATTTAGGTACCACTTATGTGGGGAGGCTAATTTAACTAATTTATGAGACCATAAAAATCTCCAGCAAGCCTGCAAAGAATAAGGAAGTACCTCATCAGTGTCACAAATGGATGGTGAAGTGATTATTTATTAAAGTTTATTAAGCGACAGCTCCCCTTTGCAGCCCGAAAAGACAGTTGCATCTGTCAAGTAGGAAATTTAGTTACCACCTACTCGAGGAGGCTAATTTAACTAATTTACGAGGCCATAAAAATCTCCAGCAAGCATGCAAAGAATGAGGAAGTGTCACAAATGGTCGGTGAAGCGACAGCTCCCCTTTGAAGCCCGAAAGGCAGTTGCATCTGTCAAGTAGGAAATTTATATACCGCTTACATGGGGAGGCTAATTTAAGTAATATACGATGCCATAAAAATCTCCAGCAAGCCTGCAAAGAATGAGGAAGTACTTCATCGGTGTAACAAATGGATGGTGAAGCGACAGCTCCCCTAGTGGCCAGAATACCCTCAAGAAAAGCTGGAATGTTAAATTGCCTCTTACTGTCTGTCTATATATGTTGTATGTCTACAGCACTGAATGTTTGCCACGTATATGTACATTGTAATCTGCCCTGAGTCCCCTGCGGGGTGAGAAGGGCGGAATAGAAATACTGTACATTAAAAAATAAATACTGTTTCTTGTATTTTATCTTATTTTCTTGTATTTTGTTTTGTATCTTATTTTGTTGTATTATTTTTTGGTCTCGGCCTCATGTTAACCGCCCCGAGTCCCCCTTTGGGGAGATGATGGTGGGGTATAAATAAAGTTGATTATTATTATTATTATTATTATTATTATTGTTTTTTGTATTATATTGTTTACTGTATTGCTGGGCTTGGCCTCGTGTAAGCTGCCCTGAGTCCCCTTGGGGAGATGGTGGCGGGGTATAAATAAAGTATTATTATTATTATTATTATTTCATTATTATTATTATTATAGTATTGCTGGGCTTGGCCTCATCTAAGCCACCCCGAGTCCCCTTGAGGAGATGGTGGTGGGGTATAAATAAATAAATAAATATTATTATTATTATAGTATTGCTGGGCTTGGCCTCATGTAAGCTGCCCCGAGTCCCTTTGGGGAGATGGTGGTGGGGTATAAATAAATAAATAATAAAAATAATAGTTGAACATTTGCATCGTTGTATTGCTGGGCTTGTTGGCCTCATGTAAGCCGCCCTAAGTCCCTTTGGGGTATAAATAAAGTATTATTATTATTTGTATTATTATTATTATTATTATTATTATTATTATTATTATAGTATTGCTGGGCTTGGCCTCATCTAAGCCACCCCGAGTCCCCTTGAGGAGATGGTGGTGGGGTATAAATAAATAAATAAATATTATTATTATTATAGTATTGCTGGGCTTGGCCTCATGTAAGCTGCCCCGAGTCCCTTTGGGGAGATGGTGGTGGGGTATAAATAAATAAATAATAAAAATAATAGTTGAACATTTGCATCGTTGTATTGCTGGGCTTGTTGGCCTCATGTAAGCCGCCCTAAGTCCCTTTGGGGTATAAATAAAGTATTATTATTATTTGTATTATTATTATTATTATTATTATTATTATTATTATTATAGTATTGCTGGGCTTGGCCTCATCTAAGCCACCCCGAGTCCCCTTGAGGAGATGGTGGTGGGGTATAAATAAATAAATAAATATTATTATTATTATAGTATTGCTGGGCTTGGCCTCATGTAAGCTGCCCCGAGTCCCTTTGGGGAGATGGTGGTGGGGTATAAATAAATAAATAATAAAAATAATAGTTGAACATTTGCATCGTTGTATTGCTGGGCTTGTTGGCCTCATGTAAGCCGCCCTAAGTCCCTTTGGGGTATAAATAAAGTATTATTATTATTTGTATTATTATTATTATTATTATTATTATTATTATTATTATTATTATAGTATTGCTGGGCTTGGCCTCATCTAAGCCACCCCGAGTCCCCTTGAGGAGATGGTGGTGGGGTATAAATAAATAAATAAATATTATTATTATTATAGTATTGCTGGGCTTGGCCTCATGTAAGCTGCCCCGAGTCCCTTTGGGGAGATGGTGGTGGGGTATAAATAAATAAATAATAAAAATAATAGTTGAACATTTGCATCGTTGTATTGCTGGGCTTGTTGGCCTCATGTAAGCCGCCCTGAGTCCCTTTGGGGTATAAATAAAGTATTATTATTATTATTATTTGGGGGTTTTCTGCTGTCTGCTTAAATCGCTTTACCCTTGGAAGCAATACGTAACTTCCCGAATTGGGGGTCGGTGGGACTTACGAGAGGGAGACGATGGAGGAAGCGGCCTTGAGCTGGAGCTGCATGAAGCGGAAGTACTTGCTGGGGAAAGGGAGCCGGAGGTGTCCCAGGACGCGCACCGAGACCAGCACCGATTTGCCCACCTCGATCTGGAAGAGGAAGCCGGGGACGTGTCGCAAGCCTTGGCGGAGGAAAAGGAGGGCCGGGATTCCTTTGGAAAACCCCGGGAGAAGCCCGCCTTGGGACTGAGAGACGAAGGCGTGGGACAGGGCCTTGCTCTCACCTTATCCACCAGGTCCACTTCCAAGTCGTACAAGTTGGACACTTGGAGGTAGGCGGTCGCTGGTCCCAGGAAGGACAGGCACAGGTCGTACACCTCCAGCATCAAGGAACCCGGGGCCACGGGCACCACCTGCGGCAGGAAAGGAAGGAAAGGGAGGCGCCGTCCTCCGTTGTAGATTTTGCAAAGGCGTCCTGCTTTCCCCCGAATCTTTACCCAATGAGGTTTGCAAGGGAGGTACAGCGATGACCGCCAACATGGACAGTTTTATTTATTTATTTGTTTGTTTACCATATTTTAGGCCTGGGTAACAACGGAAAAATTTGTTTCTAAACTCGTTTCGTTTTTAGGGGTCCATCGCGTTTCGTTTCTTAAAAGAATTCCGAAATTTTCCTTTTAAAAATTTTGAAATTTACGAAATTTCGTATAATTACGAATCGATTCGTTAATGGCGGACGCGATTGCGCAATGTGCTAAAAAACCCTCCAAATGGGACAGGAGGAACTTCTGAAGCTTCCCTCTCCCTCTGTTGTTGACTCTTGGTGTGATAAAACAAACAACAACACAAGGATGGTGAAACATCAAAACATCCAGGCAACGTCCCCTGGGCAACGCCCTTGCAGACGGCCAATTCTCTCACACCAGAAGCAACTTGCAGTTTCTCAAGTTGCTCCTGACACGAAAATAATAATCATCATTATCATCGATTTTTTTTTAGTCATGTCAGAAGCAACTTGAGAAACTGCAAGTTGCTTCTGGTGTGAGAGAATTGGCCATCTGCAAGGACGTTGCCCAGGAGACACCCAGATGTTTTGATGTTTTACCATCCTTGTGGGAGGCTTCTCTCAGGTCCCCGCATGAGGAGCTGGAGCTGATAGAGGGAGCTCATCCGCCTCTCCCCGGATTCGAACCTGCGACCTGTCGGTCTTCAGTCCTGCTGGCACAAGAGTGTAACCCACTGCGCCACTGGGGGCTCCTATCATAATCGATAATAACAAGGGACTGTCTTTTTTAGGAGGTTTTTGCGTAGAGGCTGGGTGTCCATCTGCTGGGAGGGCTTGGATGGTGTCTCCCTTTGTGGCAAATGGGGGTTCGAATGGACGTCCCTTCTAAGTCTAGAAGCCTTTGATTCCATAACCCTATTACTCCATGAATTTGCTACTGTCTATGAAATGCATGACCCTCTGTCGGGAGGGCTCTGATTGTGCTTTTCCTGCAGGGCAGAAGGGGGTTGGACTGGAGAGCCCTTCTTCCAACTCTCTGAACATATACACACATACATACATACACTCCCCAATTGATGAGCCAGTGGGGCAACCAGTGTGAACGGGACGAGGCCCCACTCACTCGGACGGTGCTCTCTGCCTCCAGGTAGGTGACGTTGGCCATGTCCTTGGTGCTGCTGTTGACCAGGAAGTAGCCGGAGCCTTCCAACAGTGAAAACACTTCCTGGACAAAGACAAGCAGAAAATAATAATAATAATAATAATAATAATATTTCCCAAAATCTCCCAGTCTCCCAGGGAAACGGGTAAGAGCTGAGCAACATTGGAAGACATTCCCTTGGAGTCTCCTTTTCTGATGGATGGCCATCAGTTGGGAGGGATCAAATGTTATGTACTTGTCTGGCACAAAGGGAGTGGTTCCTTCCAACTCCAGCAATCTATGATTCTATTTATCTATTTACTCTATTGAACATCTTCTCTTGAGGTTTGCAAACAGAGGCTGGGGGGCCATCTGTCAGGAGGGCTTGGATTGTGTCCTCCATCATGTCAGAAGAGGGTTGGACTGGATACACTTTGGGGTCCCTTCAAACGCTAGGATTTTATGATTCAGAGGCTGGATGGCCATTTGTCGGGAGGGCTTGGATTGTGTCCTCCATCATGTCAGAAGAGGGTTGGACTGGATGGCCTTTGGGTTCCCTTCGAACGCTAGGATTTTATTACTCAGAGGCTGGATGGCCATCTGTCAGGAGGGCTTGGATTGTGTCCCCCATCATGTCAGAAGAGGGTTGGACTGGATGGCCTTTGGGGTCCCTTCGAACGCTAGGATTTTTTTACTCAGAGGCTGGATGGCCATCTGTCAGGAGGGCTTGGATTGTGTCCCCCATCATGTCAGAAGAAGGTTGGACTGGATGGCCTTTGGGGTCCCTTCGAACGCTAGGATTTTATTACTCAGAGGCTGGATGGCCATCTGTTGGGAGGGCTTGGATTGTGTCCCCCGTCATGTCAGAAGAGGGTTGGACTGGATGGCCTTTGGGGTCCCTTCAAACGCTATGATTTTAGGATTTTATGGTTTATGATTTTATGATTCAGAGGCTGGATGACCATCTGTCGGGAGGGCTTTGATTGTGTCCTGCTTCGTGGCAGAAGGGAGTCAAACTGGATGGTCCTTGAGGTCTCTCTCCGCCAACTCTGGGATTCTATGGTATATCCATCATCTCTCTCTTAATCATATCCATGGCTGGATGGCCATCTGCCAGGAGGGCTTGGATTGTGCCTTTCTTGCTTGGCTTGAATGGGTTTGGCCTGGATGGCCCTCCAACTCCAAGACTCTATGAAGTCTTTAAGCAGAGGTTGGAGGCCCATCTGTCAGGAGGGCTTGGATTGTGCCCTCTGTCGTGTCAGAAGAGGGTTTGGGGGTGTCTTCCAACTTCAGCAATCTATAATTGTCTCCTCAGGAGGTTTTTTTAAGTAGCCATCTGGCTCTCTGCTGGGAGGGCTTGGATTGTGATTTTCCTGCCTTGGGGGTCTCTTCCAACTCTGAGATTCTCTGATTCTATGGCCCTGTTTCTCCATGAACCTTCTAATGTCTTCTTAGGACAGATGGCCATCTGTCAGGAGGGCTTGGGTTGTGCTTTTCCTGGACGGCCCTTGTGGGTCTCTTCCAAGGCGAGGATTCCACAATCCCAAGCGTGGCAAGCCAAAGGATCCTAGGCACCAACGTGGCACCTACCGTGACGTCTGGGTGGTTGTAGACGGTGATGTTCTCCGGCACCACGGTGACGTCCTCCACCAGCATCAGCTCCACCGCGGCGGAGGCCGGAGAGTTGGAGACCTCCTAAGGGCAGAGAGGGGCAGCCTTGAGAAGCAGGGCTTCCGGCGCCACAGGACGCTCCCCTGGAAGGAATCCCTCCCGGGCATCTCCTCCCGCTCACCTTGGGGCTGCCTCTCTCGGAGTAGCGCACAAAGCGGACGGCGATCAGAACGGTCCCCTTGACCTGACGGACTTCGAGGAGCTGGTGCCCTAAGGAGGACCGACACGGAAGCAACACTGAGCGGAAGAAAGAGGCAAAGGCAGAGGCACACTTTGCCAGCCATGCTTGTTACACTCCAGAGCAGAGTTGAGTTGAAATAGCAAGCAGTTTATTGAGGAAAGTATAAGCCAAAGCAATAAAGAGCAATCCACAGTAAAAGGCAAATCCAATTGATTAGAACTAAAAAAGAGTGAAGAGAGGTGGGGGCAGGGACAGTTCCATCTTGTCTCCTGCCAATGTCATCAGTTGGGGACCCCCCCCCCCCCAGCACCAACTGCTGCTCTGGGCCAGAGTGAAGAGAGGGGGCCAGAAGACAGTCCCACCGTGTCTCCTGTGCTATCTTAATAATATAATATAATGTATTATATTATATTAATAATGGAGCCCCCGGTGGCGCAGTGGGTTAAAGCGCTGAGCTGCTGAGCTTGTTGATCGAAAGGTTGCAGGTTCGACTTCGGGGAGCGGCGTGAGCTTCCGCTGTCAGCCCTAGCTTCTGCCAACCTAGCAGTTCGAAAACATGCAAATGTGAGTAGATCAATAGGTACCGCTCCGGCGGGAAGGTAACGGCGCTTCATGCAGTCATGCTGGCCAGATGACCTTGGAGGTGTCTATGGACAACGCTGGTTCTTCGGCTTAGAAATGGAGATGAGCACCAGAGTCCCAGAGTCAGACATGACTGGACTTAATGTCAGGGGACGACCTTTACCTTTTTAATATAATATATTATAATTATATATTTATATTATTTGTTTATTTATAATATTTATAACATTATATTTATAATATAATATTTATAATATTATAATGTAATACAATATAATACTAATACATACAATATAATACCTCTGCCTGCCACCTCAGGAGGAGAAGGAGGAAATCCTGCTGCTACTCTCCCCCTCCCAAGCCCGCTAAGAGGAGGAAGGTAAAGCAAGCCAAGAATGGCGGGGATGTGAAATAACCCTAAACCTAACCCTTGGACCTTTCCACATTGAGATATAATCTGTTTATATATGAGGGATGAATGAAAAGTAATGCCTCCACCTTCATAACTCCTCAATCAATGGCAGTACTAGTATGCGGCAGGTACTGGCTTGTTCAGTAGACTCTTCTCTAGAGTTCCATTTTGGCAGGAAGCCTTAGCATTGAACGGTTGTGTTCTTAAAGTGCAAAGTATGGAACCCTGCACAGAATGTCTGTCAATGTGACGTAAGCAACATGCAGTCATTGAATTCTTGACAGCAGAAGGCGTCACCCCAAAGGAGATTCAAGCTGTTTATGGGGATTGTGTGGATGTGAGTACTGTGCGTCATTGGGCGAGTAAGTTTAAAGATGTTGAGGTGACACCTTCTGCTGCAATGACTGCACGTTGCTTAAGTCTCATTGACCCACTGCCTGTGCAGGGTTCCATACTTTGCACTTTAACAACACAACCGTTCAGTGCTAAGGCCTCCTGCCAAAATGGAACTGTACAGGAGAGTCTATTGAACGGGCCAGTGCCTGCCACATACGTTGCTTAAGTCTCATTGACCCACTGCCTGTGCAGGGTTCCATACTTTGCACTTTAACAACACAACCGTTCAGTGCTAAGGCCTCCTGCCAAAATGGAACTGTACAGGAGAGTCTATTGAACGGGCCAGTGCCTGCCACATACGTTGCTTAAGTCTCATTGACCCACTGCCTGTGCAGGGTTCCATACTTTGCACTTTAACAACACAACCGTTCAGTGCTAAGGCCTCCTGCCAAAATGGAACTGTACAGGAGAGTCTATTGAACGGGCCAGTGCCTGCCACATACGTTGCTTAAGTCTCATTGACCCACTGCCTGTGCAGGGTTCCATACTTTGCACTTTAACAACACAACCGTTCAGTGCTAAGGCCTCCTGCCAAAATGGAACTGTACAGGAGAGTCTATTGAACGGGCCAGTGCCTGCCACATACGTTGCTTAAGTCTCATTGACCCACTGCCTGTGCAGGGTTCCATACTTTGCACTTTAACAACACAACCGTTCAGTGCTAAGGCCTCCTGCCAAAATGGAACTGTACAGGAGAGTCTATTGAACGGGCCAGTGCCTGCCACATACGTTGCTTAAGTCTCATTGACCCACTGCCTGTGCAGGGTTCCATACTTTGCACTTTAACAACACAACCGTTCAATGCTAAGGCTTCCTGCCAAAATGGAACTGTAGAGGAGAGTCTACTGAACAAGCCAGTACCTGCTGCATACCAGTACTGCCATCTGTTGAGGAGTTATGAAAGTGGGGGCATTACTTTTCATTCAACCCTCGTAGTGATACATCCCATACATTTTTTTTCTTTTGACTGGATGCAAACTGTAACGGAGACGGTGAAAGCAGAGAGCAGGAAACAGGGAGAAAGAAGGGGAAGGCAAGCTGCTGAGGAACCCTTGTGCCTGCTGATAAGAGAGAACAAAATTTTGCATGTGCTCAAAACGTTCTGACTATAAAACCAAGCTGCACATCAATTCAGTGTGGCACATGGCTTTTTCCTGTCGCTCTTGTCCAGATCTATAGCTTTCTGGCAAAGGAATTAATTCACAAACCAAGTTGGAAGGCTTTAATTCAAAAGCATACGATAGGGAACGCAACAAAATTCCAACTGACAGTTTACTTCCCTCACACCTCACCCTGGCCCCTTCGCTACATCGCTCCCATCTCTATAGACACCCTCTCCCAGATTTCAAACATGCATAGGACACGTCTAAGACATGGACTAATTAATATCTATCTATCTATCCACACACCCACCCACCCACCCATCCATCTATGCATCTATCTATCTATTCATCCATCCATCCATCTATCTACCTACCCATCTACCCATCCATCTATCTATCTATCTATCTATCTATCTATTATCCACCACCCACCCACCCACCCACCCACCCATCCATCTATGCATCTATCTATCTATCTATCTACCTACCTACCTACCTACCTACCTACCTACCTATCCATCCATCCACCCACCCATCCATCCATCCATCCACCCACCCATCCATCCATCTACCCATCCGTCCGTCCGTCCGTCCATCCATCCATTCATCCATCTATCTATCTATCTATCTATCTATCTATCTATCTATCTATCTATCTATCTATCTACCTACCGACCTACCTACCTATCCATCTATCCATCATCCATCTACCCATTCATCTATCTATCTATCTATCCATCCACCCACCCACCCACCCACCCACCCATCTATGCATCTATCTATCTATCCATCCACCCACCCACCCACCCATCTACCCATCTACCCATCTATCTATCTATCTATCTATCTATCTATCTATCTATCTATGCATGCACGAAACCACATATACACAAATATACACACGCACGCATATATATACACACACAAAACACATATACACAGACTGGGCCACAGCAACGCATGGAAGGGGACAGCTAGTTCTAAGATATATGTATACAATGCGACTCTTAGCATGGGAGGCGTGCATACACACACAGGCGCAAGGCCTACCGTGGAGCCTGCTCTGCCCGGTCCCGTCCTGCTTGGGCACCATCTGCATGGAGTCCGGGCGGCTGAAGCGGGCCAGGCTCCTGTTGGCCGAGGTCCACTCCAGGACCAGAGAGGAGAAGTTGTCGAAGGTCCTCCGGTGCTGGTCGAACAGGGCCAGCTCCAAGACGGTGTTCCTCAGGCTGGAGACAGGCACCTGGAAGGCGTCATGGATGGAGATGGGATTGCGGTTGGGGTCTAAAGAGCCTAGAGATGCCATCCTAAGAAAGGAGGCCTGGAAAACTACATGAACTGCACTTAAAAGTTGCTGAACTGTTGATGACCAGAGACAAATGATGAACTCTGGGGTGGGAAACAACATGTTTACATTACCAAAGATGGTTTTGAAAGGCAGCAGATGACAGGAGCTGTCTTCACAGACCTGTCAGAAGTTATTTTTGTCATTTTATTGAGTTTGCTTTTAATTTGTCATATGTCATTTTTGCCTGCCACTCCATTTATATTGCTGGAAGTCGCCCCGAGTCCCTTCGGGGAGATAAGGCGGGTTAGAAATAAAGCGTGGTTATTATTAGGCCCTGCTCTTGCTCCCGTCAATTGCGCAAATGTGTCTGGCGGGGACGAGAGACAGGGCCTTCTCGGCGGGAATTTATTTATTTATTTATTTAAAAGTTTTGTATACCGACCTTCTCACCTCTCTTGAGGGACTCAGACCGGTTTCCAACCATAAATCACATACAGTCAATAAAACATCAGAATTTATATTACAGTACAACATTAAACAGCAATTACAATCAATAACTATAATGGTCGGTCATCACACTAAAATCGTTGCTCATCATCCTCCATCCATATCTCAGGGTGTTGGCTCACTCGTCGAATGCCTGTCTCCATAACCACGTCTTCACCTGTTTCCTGAATGTCAGGATAGAGGGGCGGTTCTGATCTCCAGTGGGAGAGAGTTCCAGAGTCGAGGGGCCACCACCGAGAAGGCCCTGTCCCTCGTCCCCACCAGACGCGCTTGCAAGGCCGGTGGGACCGAGAGCAGGGCCTCTCCAGACGATCTTAATAATCTTGATGGTTCGTAGGGGAGAATACGTTCGGAGAGGTAAACAGGGCCGGAGTCGTTTAGGGCTTTATAGGTTAACACCAGCACTTTGAATTGTGCTCGGAAGCTAATTGGCAGCCAGTGGAGCTGGCGTAACAGCGGAGTGGTGTGCTCCCTGTACCCAGCCCCCGTTAGTAGTCTGGCTGCCGAGCGTTGGACTAGCTGCAGCTTCCGGGCAGTCTTCAGGGGCAACCCCACGTAGAGAGCATTGCAGTAATCTAAGCGGGAACACACTCCCAAATGAGGTAAGATCTGCTCCCTCCCTCCTGGCTTTCAGAAATAAATTAAAATCCTGGCTTTGGGACCAGGCCTTCGGACAGTCGATGTTTGTAGAGCTTAAAGGACATGGACTAGAATGACAATACGAGTGTATTGAAGATAGGAACATGGAACAACGGATGAAGGTACTCATTACGCACAGTATTTGTTTCTTGAATAGGGTACTACTGAAATGGATAGTACTGAATTATGGGTTGTTCGCCTGTAACCGTAGTTCCCTGAGTGGTCACCTGTGAATTCGCCATATGTGCGATTCACAGGGACCATGACGGGGAAACATAATAATAATAATAACAACAATACAAGCAATAATAATAATAATAATAATAATAATACACACAGATTAAATACGGGGAGAGGCCTGCCAGAAGCCAGGGAGGGTGGGTGGGGAAGGCTTCCTGGACTTACCAGCTGCTTGTGGTGCTGGGGCAGGGGGCAGGGCGGGGCTCCGGAAGCCAGCTCATAGACGGGGCTGATGGCCATGCTCGCCGGGTGGGCGCACAGGAAGCGCACCTGCACCACCTCCACCGCGGGGCTAGGGTTCAGCACGCCGGGCTGGTTGCCCACCTGGAAGGTGAACACCTGGGGCAGGAAAGCAGGCCGTCAGCCTCGAGGGAGTCGAACAAACACGTCTTGTTACCTAAAACTCCCCTCATAGCATTGACGTCGAGCATGCCCCCTCCCCCTAACAAGGGATGGTGATTTATAGTTCTGCAAAGGACAAAGGTACCAGACTGCACAATAGGGGTTAAGTCTTGGTCAATTTGCCAAGGCCTCAACAACAATGAGGACCCCATGAAACTCCGGGAGTAGCTAGACCTTGGGGTCTCTGCCTCTCTCGGGAGCTGTAGTTCTCCAAGGACGGGGAGCAAAGCTTGTTTCCAGAGACACCAGGTCCATTTGGGCCACTCGAGAACTCCTGCCAGGACCTTTGTGCAACACGCTTGCGTTTTAGCCATCCCCTATGGACGCTCTTTCCCCCACATGGACAAACCTTATGAAATCTTGCCTTTTATGAACTTTAGATACATGAAATGTGTTTTCTGATTTCTTTGTATGGCAAAAGCCTTTCCCCTTTTCCTCTGCCCTTTGTTTTCCCTATATACATGAAGAAACTCCACCAAAGGGACTACAAAGCCCCAAACATTCCAGGAATTTTTTTATCCACAACTTCCTTTTGCATGGACAATAGCCTGGGCAGCGGGTGGCCCTCGGAGGAATTGCCCAGCCCTCAGCTTGCCCCTTTGGCAAAAATCTTAATCATATTTCCTCCTGAAGGACAAAAGGTCCTCAAAAAACATTTTGCCTTCGCTCTGATTAACGCAGCTATCTCCACCAAGAAACAATCACCCCAGTCTACACATGTTGATAGATCAAGCTGGCTTGAGATTTCCCCTTTGTCTCGCCGGCCACATGGCATTTCCTTTGTTTACTCCTTTTCCAGATTCCTTCGTACTCCCTCATCCCGCCTCCATCTCTCCTGATTGGCTGTCGCCACCAGGTGGCAGAGGTCTCCCCATTGGTTCCTACGGACCACTGGAGCTTCCTGACTGGTCCAGAGGCACCGGGGGCAGGGAACAACAGGGAAGCCGGGGCGGGGAGTTTGAACTCTGCAACTTTGAATTTGCTATAAATATGCCTCTGATCAATATACTGGTATGCTTGTGGGTGAGCTATCCCCGCATTTGCATCCGACTCAGCTGAATCGCTCATTAAACCTCGATGCCTCTTCTTCGCCTTGGCAAGAGTCTCATTTCAATTATTAATATTAATAAAATTGCTGGAATCAGGCTTCTCTGAAGGCTTGCCAAGGACCCTCTTTGGTGCGGTCCTAGGGGTCTCTCTTACTGGGGAGACCCTCCTAAAGTCCGTATTGACTTCAGCATCACGACCTTTATGATCGAGATTGGGTCTCCTTTGGGGAAATAAAGCGGGGTATAAATAGGCAAAGGTAAAGGCAAACCTTTAATAATAATAATAATAATAATAGTTGGCATTTGGAAGTCTTTCCATGTTGCCAAGTGTTTTGAGTGAAGGGAACCCCATTTGGGGTTTAAGAAGCAGTGCCCTCCGCCAATTAGTTTAGGATATCTTCCCTGGGTTCTCCCCCTCCGGAAAGGCCTCTGGAGGGGAGGAGCGCAGACCCCCCTTCCTCTTACCTGCTCCCCCAGCTCCAGGCAGGTGACCCGGTAAATGTACTGGTGGGGCTTCCGCTTGGAGGGCAGCCGGACCTCCGCCACATGCGCCTGGTCCTGCCGCTCGGCTTGGAACTCCGAGAAGAAGCGCGAGGGCTCCAGGGGCCAGGGGCCGGGCCCCCCTTCAAAGAGCATCTCCTTGGCCGAATGCCAGGTCACCAGGGCCACCTCCACTGGATCCACCGCCTGGGCAGCAGGGAATCATCATCGCACCAGAGATTTGGGCAGGCACGGGCCCCTCACCTTCCCCAGCCCTGGACGGGGCCCTCCTTACCCGTAGAGGCTCATACGCAGCAAAGGTGGCGCTGGTGTCAAAGTATTCCTCAAAGACGGTGGCGCTGGCTGTGACCAGAGTGTGGCCCAGAGACTTTGCCGTCAGGTAAATGCTGGAGCAGAAGCCGGGCCCACGTTTCGCTTTCCCTGGGAAAGAAGAGCGCAAGGCCTCCTTCGTAACATGGGAAACCCCATATGTGCAAATTCACAGGCACCACGAAGAAGAAATGAAATGAAATTGTATTTATAGCCCTCCCTAACTCCCCAAAGGGACTCAGGGCGGCTCACAAGTAAAGACACAATGGCAAACATTGACAGCAATACATAAGCAAATCAATAAACAAATCAAGAACTACTCAATAAATTATATTTATTTATTTATTTATTATGGCATTTATTAAATAAAATAAATTAAAAACATATATGAAAAAGAAGTAACGTCATCCACATGTTTGTTTGTGGGCGGTTTCCAAGATGGCTACTTCCAAGAGCTGTCAGTCTGTAGGATCTAAATAGCAATAGTACATAACCACTCGCAAGCCGGCTTGCTTTGAAATTGATATATGGCTTGTATCTCTAGAGCTGTCAGTCTGTAGGATCTGAATAGCAATATTAAACAATCACTCACAAGCCAGCTTGCTTTGAAATGGATATATTGCTTGTATCTCTAGAGCTGTCAGTCTGTAGGATCTAAATAGCAATAGTAAATAACCACTCACAAGCCGACTTGCTTTGAAATGGATATATGGCTTGTATCTCTAGACCTGTTAGTCTGTAGGATCTAAATAGCAATAGTAAACAACCACTCACAAGCCGGCTTGCTTTGAAATGGATATATTGCTTGAATCTCTGCAGCAAAGAAAGACACTACTGACTTTTTCCCACCACGACTTCCTTATATACACCTTTCCTGCCCATCTCCCCTTCTTCTCAGTTTCCTTATTAGAACTTGTTGCTTCACAAGTTCCATAACATGGTTTCCAGCATCCTCTGCTGACTTCAGAATATCACAGAGAGAATTGATTCAGTCAGGAGGTTACGGAGGGAATTTGTGATGTCTTCATGCCGTCAGAAATTGACTCCTGACAAGAGCACTGTGGCTCCCACCAACAACAGATCCAGACCACACTTGGCACACAGATCCAATGCAACCACATTTGGATACTGGCAGAATTTGGAAGGAATTGACCTTGGATGCTGGAAGTTATAGTTTGCTCACAAACAAGGAGCCCCGTGGACCCAACCAAAGACAGATTTGGACCAAACCACACAGACCCAACATATTGGAAGGGTTTGGAAGGCAATGGCAGATGATAGGAACTGTAGTCCGGCCATACCCAGAGAGCCTTGTGAACCCTAGTGACCAAACTTGGCACACATACACCCAACATGGCCAACTTTAAATACTGGCAGGGTTTGGGGGCAATGGCAGGTGATGATGGGAGTTGCAGCCCACCCATATCGGAATGCATTTCCTAATGGGAGCATTCATACAATCCAAAAGCAACCCATGACTATTATTTATCCTTAGCAAACGCCTAACCCGGGCATTGCTGGGTCCCTAATAATAAACAAGGCAGAGGGATGGGCAAAAGGGGTCCAGGATCAAAGGTGGGAGCGGAAGGAGAGCAAGAGGCGTCCCCTCACCCTCTTCATCCAAGGCAAAGACGCCCTGCTTGTCCATGTTGACCTCCAGGGGCAGGAGGGAGCAGTCCGTGAAGTTGAGGGTCTCCCCGGTCGCCTTCTCCGTGTGGTACATCATGAGGGGCACCTCCACCGTCTGGCCCACCTCGGCCTCAGCGTGGAACGGGAGTAGCGCCATCCTGGAGAGCCTCAGCACAGACACCTGGGAGGGAGGAAGGAAGGAAGGAAGGAAGGAAGGAAGGAAGGAAGGAAGGAAGGAAGGAAGGAAGGGTCGCAGGGCAGGAAGGGAGTGCAAAGGCCTTGCTTGCAGCAGCCTGTGTCCACAGCAGGAGGTCACAAATGTCACAGAGTGGTCGGGGTCTTCTGATAGTCCACTATGTAACACAATTTTTGTTCCTGGGTTAGAAGTGTCATTTCCTAATTGGTTCTCTCATTTAAAAAAATGGGGAAAAGTTCATGAAACTGCACAAACATCCTGCTGCACATTTTGAGATAGTTTCTCAATCATCATTATTTATGTATTTATTTACGACATTTATATTCTCACCCCGAAGGGGACTCAGAGTGGCTTACAACTAATATCTAAATACAATATATTATATGATTACCATAGCACAACATTAGTATTATATATTGCTATCTTGTCCTAGACCAGGGGTCCTCAAACTTTTTAAACAGAGGGCCAGGTCACAGTCCCTCAAACTGTTTTATTATATATTTTATTATTTATTTATTTATTTAATTAATTAATTTGGGGTTCTTCTACCCCGCCTTTCTTCTCACCCCGAAGGGGACTCAGGGCGGCTTACAAAGGCAGAGGCACAATTCGATGCCTGCATCACAAAACAATCATACACAAAATTACATCAATTCACAGTTAACAAGAATTCATGCATTATAACCATAAAATCAATAAAATCAATAAAACCAATACAAACCCAATTTCTCCTCTTACATAGTCAGCGTTCGCTAACTCATATGTATTATATATTGCTATATTGTACTAGACCATTATACTGTAATATTATTAGTAATATTACATGTAATATAAAATGTATAATTATTATATTGCGTTATTATTACTAGTATTATATTGTATCACATTATAATATTATCAATATTATATGTATATACACTATATATATGTTTGTACCTGTCTGAACATATCTCCTTCTATGTCCCACCTCAGAATTCAAGATATTCGGGGGAGGCCCTGCTCCCGGCCCCGCCTCTATCACAAGTGAGGCTGGTGGGGACGAGGGACAGGGCCTTCTCGGTGGTGGTCCCTCGCCTGTGGAATTCACTCCCCGGGGAAATTAGGTCATCAACATCCCTCCTCTCCTTCAGAAGGAAGCTGAAAACATGGATATGGGAACAGGCCTTTGGGTAATCTGGCAGACTGACACGGTAATGACGACCAGAAATTGGAATGGACTATGGTAATTGTTGTGAGTCCGCATTCTGACACCATACCTACTACTAGTAGTAGGAGAAGAAGAAGGAGTGATGCAGAAACAGAGGAGAATCAGCGCCAGCTGAAACGCATTCGTGACATCTTTCTGGCTCCCAGTGATGAAGAAGACTTTGCAGGATTCAGGCCAGAGGAGGCTATGGAAGCAGATTACAGGGGAGTGAAGAGAGTGGCTAGTGATTCTGGCAGTGCGAGTGACACTATGTCTAAGAGGCTTAGAGACACAGCAGATAACTCCAGTGATAGTGAGGATGAGTTGGAGGAGGCTGTAGACTGGACTCTGGTTCAGAACATTAGAGACATTTGCAATCAAGCAACATCAAGTGATGGTTTTGAAGGTTTTAGGGATAATGGGAATGAGAGTACTGATTGGCAGGATCAGGCACTAGAGCAAAGGTGGCAGGCTTGTCGTGGTGTAGATGCTTCAGCTGCGGGAGCAGAATCAGATGCAAGCAATGAATCTCATTCCCCTGATAGTGAATAAAATGAGCACTCTGGGACCTATTCCTTTGCAGACGACAAAGTGTTGTTTCGTGTTGTTCTCTGCCTAATCTTGTTTTGGATTCCCAGTATCCTGTTTTCCCTGCCGTGCCTCGGACCTTGGAACCTTCGCTCGTGAGTGTACATCTGGCTTCTTGACCCTTGGAACTGACTGACTACACGTTTGCCTACCGGATTTTGCTCCATGCCTTGCAACCCTTAAAGACTGTTTGTTTTGTATTCTGCTCCTAGTTCATCGTATCTCCTGTTATTTCTTGGCTGCAATTCAAGCCTGCTTATCTAGCGTTTTGTGTTCCTGTTTGAAAACATCCTTTGAACTGTTTGCACTGACTTTTAAAGTGCCTTATTAAGTTTGTTTTGCATTAAAATACTACTATTTTGCACCTCAACTGCTGTTTAAGTCATTCTGTGTTCTGTGGGTCACGACAGTAATGCTGAATGGACTTACGGATATCAGAACTCGGTGAATGTTGGCCACTAGATTGGCTTTTAGTTGTTATTGTTTTAATTGATTGTTTTTAACTATTGTGGTTATTGCTGTTATGTAATTTATCTGTTGAATTGTTGGCATCAAATTGTGCCGGTTGTAAGCCGCCCTGAGTCCCCCCTTGGGGGTTGAGAAGGGCGGGGTAGAAGTGCCCGAAATAATAATAATAATAATAATAATAATAAATTATGTTATTAGCACAGTGCAGGAGACAAGCTGGAACTGTCTTCCTGACCTCTCTCTTCACTATGGTCCCAGAGCAGATCTGATCTCATCTGATAAGAGGCCCATCCAACTCAACCTAGTTTGTGGCAGACACAAAAATGAAGTTTCTGGAGGAGAACAACTACTCTCTGTCCCAGGAAGCCATGGGATTTGCCGCTGAGCCGCACCATTGCCGGGAGCCTACCTGTATTTCCCCGAAATGGAAGGGGTTCTGCACGTCCCTGGCCTGGACGGCGCTCTGCCCCTCGGCCTGCCCGGCCGTCACCATCCCTTTCACGGTCACGGTGGCCACTGTCTGGTTGGAGGAGGACCAGGTGAAGTTGCCGCTCCCGCCCTCCACCTGCGGAAAGCAGAGCGGACCCAGATGAAGGGGGTACGCTGCCAGGGGTGGGCCTGCACATCCAAAACCATGCTAGCCGGAGACAGGGGGGCTCCTGGCAGGGACTCGGGCTGCTGGACGGCACCAGGTTGCCAACCCTCAAAGAATCCTAGAGTCGGGAGAGAGCCCTAAAGGGCATCCAGCCCAGCCCCCTTCTTTCTGCCAGGCTGGAATACACCATCCAAGCCCTCCTGACAAATGGCCATCCAAACTCACATGGAGAAATAGGGCTGTAGACTCAAAGATTCCCAGAGTCAGAAGAGAGCTCCAAAGGGCATCCAGTCCCATCCTCTTGCCAGGCAGGAAGATACAATCAGGGCTCTCCTGACAGATGGCCATCCAAACACATACAACAGAAGGTTCATGGGGAAAGAGGGTTAAAGAATCAAAGACTCCAAGAGTTGGGAGAGAGCCCTAAAGAGCATCCAGCCCAACCCC